TTCTTAACAAATTGTTATAAAATTTGAATAGAAAGTTGCTTTGATCCTACTATAATGTTTTATTTGTAAGTCGTACGATATTCATATGATGTTACAGCTAACTTTTATATTTTATGGTAATATAATATGATTACCGATGTAGTAGCAGCATAACAAATTCCTATTGGTATTGAATCAATACCAAAACGATGATCACGTGATAAAACAAGTTGAAAATGAGCTGTAGCTACTTGAGATGAAATCTATTTAAATAAATACAACAAAAGAAAAAAGATAATATTAATTAAATGATTAAAATAACTTTAATTACTTACCAAATGTGATAAATAATTGGCAAGTGATGAACCAAATCGAGCATTTATATAATTTTAATTATCTTTTTGTTTCTTGTTTCATTATTTCAACAGTATTTTCCTGTACATTTTCAGCTGGTACAAGTTCTAAACACTCATCTCTTACACCAATTTTTTCACGTCGATAAGTAAAAATTTTTTGTAAATGAAATGGATTTCCCCAACCACGTACAAATGATTGAGTTAATATAAAACATCGAAAGAGATTATCGAAATTCATCATTTCAATCGTACTCGAATCTTTAATATCATCCAGAGAATTGTTAATTTCATCTTCTTTTTCTTTAATCGAACAAAAAAACAGGACAATACAATGCTTTAGTATTCTCAATAGTTTATAAACACACACATATATACAAAAAAAACTCTTATATGTCCTTTTTATTTTCCTAAATCAATCTCGTTAGTTTACTATGAAAACAAAGAACAATATTTTTATTGCATAGCACCAGTAATGTTAAGTAATATTTGAGGACCATGTGGTAAATAGACGCTATTTCTTGATTTTGATAATTGATTTGCAATATCTTCAGTGGCTTCAATTCGTCGAAGTTCGATCAAATCTAACATGAATATTAAAACAAAGTTAGACAGGATAATAAAAGATATTCGAAAATTTACCATCACCAGCTTCATCTAAAACTTTGCCACTCAAATCAGCTGCACGAGTATCACCTTCTGCTGCAATAACATTTGCTCGACGACTTTGTTCCGTCTGTTTTTTTTTATCAAAAAAAACAAACTCATACAAATTTTATTCTTATTGATTTACTTTTTCGACTAAAAATCGTTGTTTCTCAACATCTTGTTGTGCACCTTGTTTTAATTCAACAGCACTTGTGAATTCAGGTCTAAAACTTAAATGTGTCTAATTTAAAGAAAAAAAACAATATAATCAACTCGAGACTCTTTTTTATCGTATCTTATAATTGAAATATCATCAAGTAATAAACCAAATTGAGCAGCACGTTCTGTTAATAATTCATTATTACGTTGCAAAATAAGTGTGCGTTGTGTAATCAATTCAATAGCATCAAATTGAGACTTAGTACAACAGATGTTAAAACTTCATTAATAATCGATGGTAAAACACGTTCTTCATAATCTAAACCCAAATTTGCAAAAAAATTTTTGGTGAAAGTTCAGCTCTTGGTCGATAAAGAATACGTAATGTTATATTAATTGTTTGTAAATCTAAAATAAAAATAATAAAATGTAATTTATGCATATTTCATGTATACGAAGAAAAAATAACGGAGACTTCCGGTTTTAAGTTTTATGAAGTATCCTAAGATTGGTGAATGATGAGAGTGTAGAGGTGTAAACCGATCAGTTGAGTCGCCATCAATGACCGCAAAATTTTTTAAGATACCTCAGCCATATACATTCATTGATGTTTTAATAGACATCGTATTTACCTTCCTTTTTTCGCGAGCTTACATTTTCCTCATGTTCACCTCTCTCCTGAAGTTGACTGTTCTCTTCTAGCTTTTATATCTTTTATTTCTGTTATTGATGGAACAGATCGTGGTCGTGTACGAATATCAAATATAATTGGTCTATGAAGCCATGAAATCATAAAATGAGTTCCTTCTTCAATAACATCTAGTTTAACACTTTGAAAATGATTAAAAATAACATCTTGATGACCATCATCAACTAGAATATGTTTAAATTTAAAGAAAACAAGGTTTTTTTAATTTTTTCATTACTTACCATTATAAAGCATACAATTAATCACACCACCACCAATACCTAAACCAATATCAATTCTTCCTAAAACACTAAATTCTTCTATCGAAATAAAATATTATCTCAATACCTTACCAATATTATTAAATAAACGAGATGAATTTATTAGCAAATAGTTCCAGAAACAAAACGAAACCATATGAAAATTCTTCATATCTCTATCGATAGAAAAAGAAAATGCATCACTATTTAATCTATCTATCTACTACAATAACAAACCAATGTAATATATACATAGAAAAAGATTAAATAACAATAAATTTTGAAAGCAAAAAAAAAATACATGCATACTTTTAAATAAATCGAAATCCACTTGAAAAAATGTGAGCACCGTTTCTTATTTTAGACAAAATAAAAGAAAAGCAAAACGTGTATAAAGTTTAGCACCGTTCAGATATTGTTCACCATTGGGTTTTAATGAATTTGATGTATCACTGTTCTTTGCTACTGCAGCAACAATTGCTTCGGGTGCTGGAACAGTCTATAAAGAAATTGTTTATATTATAGAAAAAACAAAATGTTTTTCAATTACTATAATTTGATTTTGTTGGGAAAAATTGTTGTGGAAATTATGCACCATCAACACGAAAATCTTCAAGATTTTTATAGTTTTTTAAAATTTCTTCAAGTTTTGGATTGATTTTTGGTTTTTGTCGAGAATATTTTAAAAATGTCCAGAATTTTTCTAAACCGTATAATTGACCTAATAGAAAAATTATTTTTGTTATTGACACTTTTCTTTTTTTTTTGTGTAATCTGTTTTACTACCAGCTTCATGATCACAAAGAGTTTCTTATTGAAAATCTTCAAATACATGTTGACGAAAATGTTTTTCTATACCACATGTATAAAATCGAAATAGACATTCAACACCATATCTATACATAAATAGTAATACTCAATTTTTTTGCTTATTCTTTTTCATAAAAACAATTCATTTATATGCCGATGATCAGTTTTAGTGTCTTCAACAGCATATTGTTTAAATTCATTGTACAT